GACCCTGCTATTGTTCCAACTTGTTGGGTTAGTCATCACATGGTTTTAGCTGGAAGATCCAATGGATGAGCCACAGGGTTGATCTGGACACAGTATCCTAATGCATTCACATGTATTATAGGCCTGTTGTGACTGCATTTAACTCAATCTGCCTCAATATGGGTTGTAAGGCAGGTTCTCTTTGCTCTTAAGTCTGCTGTCAGTGTTTGCCTTAGCCCAGGGGAACGTGTGGGGGTATGGTTGCATATGGCCTGACCAGTGTTTGCCTTAGCCCAGGGGAACGTGTGGGGGGTATGGTTGCATATGGCCTGACCAGTGTTTGCCTTAGCCCAGGGAAGGTGTGGGGGTATGGTTGCATATGGCCTGACCAGTGTTTGCCTTATCCCAGGGCAAGGTGTGGGGGTATGGTTGCATATGGCCTGACCAGTGTTTGCCTTATCCCAGGGCAAGGTGTGGGGGTATGGTTGCATATGGCCTGACCAGTGTTTGCCTTAGCCCAGGGGAACGTGTGGGGGGTATGGTTGCATATGGCCTGACCAGTGTTTGCCTTAGCCCAGGGGAACGTGTGGGGGGTATGGTTGCATATGGCCTGACCAGTGTTTGCCTTAGCCCAGGGAAGGTGTGGGGGGTATGGTTGCATATGGCCTGACCAGACAGAGGAAAATTAATGCATGGCTCATTTGTAAAGGGGGGAAGGGGGAAGTGTTAGGTAACCCACTAAAACACACACACACACACACACACACACACACACACACACACACACACACACACACACACACACACACACACACACACACACACACACATTTAGACCTAGTCTTGTTTGTACTGTCTGTTCCACTATATCAGATAGATAGATTAAGAAATAAATTACATATTTACTAGAAGTCTAGAGTATCAAGTAATATAAAGCAATGCACCATGTAATCCTCTTATTCCTGCCCTGACATTTAGAGGTATTGATTTGCAGTAGTCTAATTGCTTATCAGAAAGAAGCTGATGATTTCATTCATATAATTACAAAGCCTCAAACAGCCTCACACTGGTCACAAATTAAATGCGGAAATAAAAATAACATGAATGATTAAACAGATAAAGAGGATATACTAAATTATATTGAATTTAATGAATGATTCATTTGTGTGTGTGTTATAGTTTAAAATACATTGTTGTAAACAATGACATGAGACTACAATGTATATGTTATTAGGCTTTCTACAGTATTAAGTTCAGCTTTGTTTCAGTTCTGTTCCTGTCTGTGTGTTTTATAGGGGTGAAATAGTGCTGTTTCTTTCTTTAGTATTGATACATGTTCCCTCTAACAAGGGCAGGATCAATGCATTGAAGCACAGTTTGGAGGCTGGAGGTCATTAGATGATTGACAGGGGAGCAGAAGGTCACTGGCTGGAATCATCATCAACAATTACAAACATACAGACAAACAGTTGCTGCACATGGTCTTACACAAGCAAACCCTGACAAAGAGCAGAAGATTGTATGCTGTACAGGTGTACATCTGACGCTGTTTTCTCCCACAGCAGCACATGAACTCTCCCTCTCTGCATCAGGTTTGCCAAAGGAGCATGTTGCCTTTACTTTCCCTAGGTAACACAGAGAAGCAAGGTATATTCTGCCAAAGACATTCCTAGTCAGGCGGTCCTACACCATAGTGATGTCCACAGCACACAATGAGAGCATGTTGATTTAATCATGCCTGAACCATGGCGACCGGGTCCATGTTAGAACAACAGCTCTCTCTCTCCCACTGTTGGGGTCCTTGACTCCCTGCCTGCGCTATAAAAGAGAAGTCGCTCTTCTGTCAGAAAGCTGGTCCAGAACAAAGAGAGGGCAGGCTTAAACAGTCTTAATAGCATCCTAGGATGGGCTTGAATGTGGCAGGCCCACATACAGTTACACAGGTGGTAGATAGATAGATACAGTGGGGAGAACAAGTATTTGATACACTGCCGATTTTGCAGGTTTTCCTACTTACAAAGCATGTAGAGGTCTGTAATTTTTATCATAGGTACACTTCAACTGTGAGAGACGGAATCTAAAACAAAAATCCAGAAAATCACATTGTATGATTTTTAAGTAATTAATTTGCATTTTATTGCATGACATAATTATTTGATCACCTACCAACCAGTAAGTATTCCGGCTCTCACAGACCTGTTAGTTTTTCTTTAAGAAGCCCTCCTGTTCTCCATTCATTACCTGTATTAACTGCACCTGTTTGAACTCATTACCTGTATAAAAGACACCTGTCCACACACTCAATCAAACAGACTCCAACCTCTCCACAATGGCCAAGACCAGAGAGCTGTGTAAGGACATCAGGAATAAAATTGTAGACCTGCACAAGACAGGGATGGGCTACAGGACAATAGGCAAGCAGCTTGGTGAGAAGGCAACAACTGTTGGCGCAATTATTAGAAAATGGAAGAAGTTCAAGATGACGGTCAATCACCCTCGGTCTGGGGCTCCATGCAAGATCTCACCTTGTGGGGCTCAATGATCATGAGGAAGGTGAGGGATCAGCCCAGAACTACACGGCAGGACCTGGTCAATGACCTGAAGAGAGCTGGGACCACAGTCTCAAAGAAAACCATTAGTAACACACTACGCCGTCATGGATTAAAATCCTGCAGCGCACGCAAGGTCCCCCTGCTCAAGCCAGCGCATGTCCAGGCCCGTCTGAAGTTTGCCAATGACCATCTGGATGATCCAGAGGAGGAATGAGAGAAGGTCATGTGGTCTGATGAGACAAAAATATAGCTTTTTGGTCTAAACTCCACTCGCCGTGTTTGGAGGAAGAAGAAGTATAAGTACAACCCCAAGAACACCATCCCAACCGTGAAGCATGGAGGTGGAAACATCATTCTTTGGGGATGCTTTTCTGCAAAGGGGACAGGACGACTGCACCGTATTGAGGGGAGGATGGATGGGGGCATGTATCGCGAGATCTTGGCCAACAACCTCCTTCCCTCAGTAAGAGCATTGAAGATGGGTCGTGGCTGGTCTTCCAGCATGACAACGACCCGAAACACACAGCCAGGGCAACTAAGGAGTGGCTCCGTAAGAAGCATCTCAAGGTCCTGGAGTGGCCTAGCCAGTCTCCAGACCTGAACCCAATAGAACATCTTTGGAGGGAGCTGAAAGTCCATTTGCTCAGCGACAGCCCCGAAACCTGAAGGATCTGGAGAAGGTCTGTATGGAGGAGTGGGCCAAAATCCCTGCTGCAGTGTGTGCAAACCTGGTCAAGACCTACAGGAAACGTATGATCTCTGTAATTGCAAACAAAGGTTTCTGTACCAAATATTAAGTTCTGCTTTTCTGATGTATCAAATACTTGTGTCATGCAATAAAATGCAAATTAATTACTTAAAAATCATACAATGTGATTTTCTGGATTTTTGTTTTAGATTCCATCTCTCACAGTTGAAGTGTACCTATGATAAAAATGACAGACCTCTACATGCTTTGTAAGTAGGAAAACCTGCAAAATCGCAGTGTATCAAATACTTGTTCTCCCCACTGTAGATAGATAGATCGATCGATCGATAGATAGGAGTCCCCAGTTTCATCAAGCAACAGGGTTTCTAGCTAGACCCCAGGTTCATCAAAGCCCTTGAATAGATATATACCACAACAACAACTGAGTTTCAGAGAGTCCAGCAGACGACCATGTAGCTAGAATGCTAACATACTGTAGTCTAGTTTATATTGGTTTGTCAGCATTGTAGTTGAAATTAATAGAAAGTTGGTAAACAGAATGACAAACAAATTACATGTTGGACAACTGGAGACAACTCGCCCTAAAATCGGACTCAAATTAAATACAGTAGAATTCCACAGAATAACTTGGGCCCATAGCGAGAGATGAGCTGTTGAGCTGTCTTTCACATTCTCCACTGTGTGTCCCAGTAGTTGATGAAGACTTCACTACCTCTAATTCCCCTGTGGCCGGCTACAGCCAGGAAGCCGATAGGAATGTCAGGGTTCCCCCTGTATATAGCCTCATTGTTGTTATTTTAGTGTGTAACTGTTTTTTTTTTTTAAACGTTCGTTTATTTAGTAAATATTTTCTTAACTCTGCATTGTTGGTTAAGGGCTTGTAAGTAAGCATTTCACGGTAAGGTCTACACCTGTTGTATTCGGCGCATGTGACAAATACAATTTGATTTGATTTGATTTTGTGATGAAACACTTCTAATGTCATGCTACCTAGCTAGGAGAGTAAAACATGTTAATGAGTTCAGAACGCTCTCTTCCCGTCTACCTACTTTCTGGGGAGGCCAATGTTCCATACAGTTGAACAGTACTACTTGGAATTCAAAATTCTCAGACCCAAGTATTTAGTGCTGGCCCTCAACTTCATATTACTGTCTGTTAATGTTGGGCAATAGCTCTTTATGTACCAGGGTTTCTGGGGCATTGTTGTACGAAGTTGTTTATTTATGGTCACTGATCCACAACATTGATCCATAAAAGTATTTGATTAACAGAAAAATCTGTGGTTGTCTCTGTCTCCAAAGTAATGTAGTAACCTCCAGGCCCACAGTGTAAGGATGAGACAGGTGATCTGTCCTGTATTAAGTGAATAATCAGACAGGCGTACTGTTGTGACAGGATAACTGATCTGAGATCAGTTTAGAGTTGCCCCGGCTGTACCTCAGAGCAGGAGGACACTGGTTTAGTGTGACACCTTCTAGACACACTGACTCTGAAACAGATCTGGAGGGAACAAGGTCACCACTGTCACGGCACCTTGCTTGATGTAATACGGACTCGATTTTCTTACCTTGTCAGATTGTCAGACCCTGCTTGCAGTCAAAAGATTTAACAGTGAGAAATGTCTGAGACTGAAAATGTTTAGGCCTAATTCACGTTCTTACATTCAGTTTTGTTGATGAAAATAACTCACAACGGTTCCTCAGGAATGGACAAACGGTGAAATTAGACTCTTGACAGTTTCTTTATTTTGTCCCTTACAGGGCAAGCCCTATGTGTTTGACCGAGTCCTGCCACCCAACACAGCCCAGGAGCAAGTCTACGATGCCTGGGCCAAGCAGATCGTCAAAGGTAAACGCTCTGTCCTACAGTCTCTTTATCTGACCTCGTCATCATCATCATCATCATCATCATATCAACTCAGCTCCAGACCTATTATGAAAGAGTTAACCCCAGTGTTTGCGTTTTGTAGATGTGCTGGGCGGGTACAATGGAACCATCTTTGCCTATGGCCAGACCTCATCAGGAAAGACCCACACCATGGAGGTACATCTGAAGGACATTTGGATTCCTCACTGGGATTTGCACTAGAACCAAAGAGGTTATTTCAGAGACTAGATTAAGGATAGCAGACATTAGGCTTCAGTGAAGCTACTGTGCAAGTATGACCATTAGCAGCTAATTTTATGGAGCTTTACAAGCAGCACAAAGGAGAGGCTCATGGAATGTAAAACCGTATACAGAGGAGCCAGAGGTGCAGACTATAATCAGGTTTAATTTTTGGCCTCACTGCCTGCATCATCTGTAGGTGGTCTAGTGACCCATTGGCTGAGCTGGCAGTAATTGGAGTTTAAAGGAATAGTTCATGCAAAATCTATATTTGGGTTAAATTACCCTTACCTTGATTTGTGTCTGAAGGCCCATGGTGACATAATCCACAATAATCCATTATTTACTTCTGGCTACAGCCTGGAGTTAGCATAGTCAGATTTCATGAATGGCAAGCCAAGACTTCATCAAAAACACTTCAAACTAAGTTTGGTAGTTACTGGAGTTAGCAGGGCTTTTTTTTTTACGTGCATACTGCTAGAATAATCGCTGGAATTTGGTTCCTCAGAACTGGAACTATTAACACACATAGCCAATGCACAGGGCATGTGTATGCGTCTTCCAGTGATGATGTCGTCCTCCTGGGGCAGGCACTTAGACGCGGATTGCTTTCCAGATAAACATAGGAACCAGTAAAAATTTGAATTTTATTGCAAAATAACAACATTCTCGTGTGGAAGAAAACGTGGACAGGTTCTTCGCGAGTATCGACTCAACCAAACTTAGTTTGAAGCATTTTAAAAGAAGTTTCAGCTTGCAGTGCAGGTTTGCTAACATCGGTTCGGCTGTTTCCATTCATGAAATCTGACGATCCAGGCTGTAGCCAGAAGTAAATCATGGATTAATGTGGATTCTGTCATCATGGGCCTTCAGACACAACTCAAGGTAAGGGTAATTTAACACATATATATTTTACATGAACTATCCCTTTAAGCTGTTTACCTCAGTCATAATGGTAACATGGTTTCAAAAGCGAGTTTTAACAGAGAGAGTTGCAGAAACACGTTTTTTTACAGGCGGATCGAAATTGTGCTGCGGTTACTCAGGCGGCAGACACTTGAGATTGTCAAACATGTTTGCATCATTTAAGGGAGGTGCCAGTCAGGCAGCATGCATGTACAATAAAAAAACAACAACAGACTTTTCAGCAGAAATCTCTCTCAAGCTTGTGTTGCGGAAGGTAATTCCTAGTTCTCCTTGAATGCGAACATTCCCAACAGTCCTTCCCTCCTGCTGCGTCTTCCTTCCTGGCATACCTTTATTTAGGCTGACTGCCTATGCCAGACGGCACGCCAAAATAGCAGCGAGGTGCTACTCCGCCACGGTTCACATGATGTATCGCCATGCGATTACACAGACACACAGTATAGCCTCCTATTCATCTGCAGCCGTTGCCCTGGAAACAGCCCAGAGAGCCTTCAGCAAGCCTCAGGATAAAATCGGAAAACATTTATTCCATCTTTCAGATCCACGTTTCCTCCGCAGCTAATGGAAGGGTGGGGAAGTGGTGGTGGCAGTATGATTAGCTTCCACGCTGCCAGCCTGACCAGAATGTAAAACTATCCTTGTTATGTGCTTAATCTGTAATGCTATTATACATCTCCCTATCCTCGTCTACCTAGCCAGCATCATATTACCATATGAAGGACATCAACCCTGAGGCGAATGGCAGACTATGATAGTCCATTACATTTTGATTGTCAAGTCAATATCAGTTTTATTATGTTTGGGCTGGATATGGAGGGGTAAAACTGAATTAAATGGGGGTGGGGATGAGGGGACTAAATAAAGGAAGTTCAGGCTGGCAATGGAGCTTGTAATGAAACCCCCTTGAGGTAGCATGTATATTTCATATTAATATGAGGACCCAGGCCTTATGAAGGCTAAGAGGGTTAAGACCTTTGTGTGTGAGGAAAACTGGTGAATGCTTTTGCCCTGTGTAATGAACCTGTATTGCCACTTGCCATTTCAACTTTTGGGACTATCTTGTTTTTTGATCAGGAGTGTGTCTTTTTCCCAGGGCAAGCTACATGACTCCAAGCAGATGGGTATCATTACCCGTATCACCAGGGAGACATCTTTGATCACATCTACTCCATGGACGAGAACCTGGAGTTCCACATCAAGGTAAAATACACACCATGGCCCCTCTGAACCCTGGACTAGGTGCTCACTGTCCATGTCATTTAGGTTAGCTTGCCTTCAGAGCAAATAGTCTATGTTAAGATATCATTTTGCAGGATTTGTCAATATATGGGAATGTATGTTAAGATGTTATGATGGTGTAAGAGCAGTGTATTCTGTGTACCATATTAAATGTGAATGGAACAGGTGCCGTGGTGGCTGAGGGTTAGTCCAGTGCTCTTTGCTGTGTTAGTGTTAGTGACAGAACCCACAGAGCTAGGTGTCCGCTATGGTGCCAGCTTCGCTGGGGTCGGCTACATGTACCATATGGTCACTGCTGTGACACATCCAACTGGTGGCTGTGTGTTCCTCTAGTAGCTCAAATGGAAGGTCTCAACACAAAAGAGTAGGAACCCGAGTGCTCATCTGTTAGAATAGTGGGTCCTTCACCAAGGACAAGACTGGCACAGGGGTAATGCTGTCATATTCCTGTTGATTAACGGTTTGTTTATATGCTGTGTGTGATGTGCACTACATGACCAAAAGTATGTGGACAACTGCTCGTCGAACATCTAATTCCAAAATCATGGGCATTAATATGGAGTTGGTCCCCCCCTTTGCTGCTATGAAAGCCTCCACTCTTCTGGGAAGCCTTTCCACTAGATGTTGGAACATTGCTGCGGGGACTCACAGTCGGCGTTCCAATTCATCCCAAAGGTATTCGATGGGGTTGAGGTCAGGGCTCTGTGCAGGCCAGTCAAGTTCTTCCACACCGATCTCGACAAACCATTTCTGTATGGAACTCGCTTTGTGCACGGGGGCATTGTCATGCTGAAACAGGAAAGGGCCTTCCCCAAACTGTTGCCACAAAGATGGAAGCACAGAATCGTCTAGAATGCCATTGTATGCTGTAGCGTTAAGATTTCTCTTCACTGGAACTAAGGGACCTAGCCCGAACCATGAAAAACAGCCCCAGACCATTATTCCTCCTCCACCAAACTTTACAGTTGGCACTATGCATTCGGGCAGGTAGCGTTCTCCTGGCATCTGCCAAACCTAGATTCGTCCATCGGACTGCCAGATGGTGAAGCGTGATTCATCACTCCAGAGAATATGTTTCCACCGCTCCAGAGTCCAATGGCGGCGAGCTTTACACCACTCCAGCCGACGCTTGGCATTGCGCATGATAATCTTAGGCTTGTGTGTGGCTGCTCGGCCATGGAAACCCATTTCATGAAGCTCCCGATGAACAGTTATTGTGCTGACGTTGCTTCTAGAGCCAGTTTGGAACTCTGTAGTGAGTGTTGCAACCGAGGACAGACAATTTTTATGCACTTCACCACTGGGTGGTCCTGTTCTGTGAGCTTGTGTGGCCTACCACTTTGCTGCTGAGCTGTTGTTGCTCCTAGACGTTTCCACTTCACAATAACAGCACTTACAGTTGACCGGGGCAGCTCTAGCAGGGCAGAAATTTGACGAACTGACTTGTTGGAAAGTCACTGAGCTCTTCTGTTAAAATATTTTTTATTGAACACACACAAGAATGGTGTATAGGTATGAAAGACACGTGTACAGTTCTTATCTAAACATAAGAGAACAGATATGAACAACAAGACCCAGAGTTCTGGACACAAAACAAATATTACAAAACACGACATACAGAACAGGGACAGGTAGAAAGAAAAAGGGTAGATGTAACCCCCTCACTTATACCCCCCTTTATCCCCCCCCCTTATTCCACCCTATTCCCCTCCCGACTGCTCGGGTGGCGGGGCCAGCACACGCTGCCCAAAGGTAGATTACAATATGACAATTGAGAGTGCGTTAAAAAGTACAAATTCACAGCGCCGACTGGTCCAAGTAAGAGAGGAAAGGCTGCCAGATTTGATCAAAAGTTGATAATTTATTGTTCAGAATATATCTAATTCTTTCTAAGTGTACAGTGTTTGCCAATTCGCTGAGCCATAATTTGGTAGAGGGCGCTTCCCTTCTTTTCCAAAACAACAAGATTAATTTATTTGCCGAAATGAGACTGTAAGAGATGAGTTGTTTTTGGGAGTTGGTTAATCTGTTTAGGGAATCGGACACTCCCAGGATTATCAGAAGCGGGTCTGGGTCTATTGAAGTCTCCAGAACTTCAGAGAGGACCCCAAAAATTCCACACCAATAACCATACAGGCTAGAGCATAGGGCAAAGCAGTGGAGTAGTGTACCCTGCTCAGCCTGACATGTATCACACATAGGGGATGTATCAGGAAATATCCTATGCAGTTTAGTTTTGGAATAGTGTAATCTGTGTAATACCTTAAATTGTATGAGATGATGTCTGGAGTTAATGGAGCAGGTGTGGATATACTCCAAGCTATCCTCCCAGTCTGCCACCGAAATGTCAGTCCCTAGTTCTTCCTCCCATTTTGCCTTAATGGCATCAGTAGAGGGTGCGCTAACAGATTGAAAAGCGTCATATAGACGAGATATCAGTTTGTCTGAGGTGGGGCATATTTTTATGCATCCGTCAAACATGGAAGGTTTAGCATTCCCAAATGTTGGGAGGTGTTTTCTAACATAGTCTCTAATTTGTAGGTATCTGAAAAAGTTACTTCTGGGAAGGTTATAAGTTTCCCTCAGCGATTCAAAGGAAGCAAAGGTCCCTCCTATATATAAATTCCCTATGGTACTTATCCCCAACTCTCCCCATCGCTCAAAGGTGTTATCAAGGTTAGAGGGGGCAAAGGAGGGATTCCTGGCAACAAGGAGCATGAATGATATTGGTCTAAGCTCAAAGTGGACTTTAATTTGCTTCCAGATTCGGACTGTGCTATGTATAATTGGATTGTTACGGTAAAGTGACATCTCCA